GGAAAGAGGATGAAGTAATAAAGAAAAGATTATCAATTTGCCAAGTAAGGGCTAATGAATGACACTGTGCTAAGGATCAAGTCTGGCCATTTTTTACTAAAATAACATCTTAGTTTGACTGCTTCATGCAGGCATCACACCAGGAGTGAAAAATCACCTCAGGCACAGAGATAATCTGAAAACAACAGGGAGTATTTAAACTGGTCCTAGCTGAAGACCAGAGAGGTCCACAAATAGAGTCAGAAAAAAGAAACGTGGATAAAAAAGAGGGCTGGGGCAAGACTCCATCACAAAAGGTGCAATTAAAGTCAAGTACTGTCAAGTCCGTGTTCCACAGAGGACTTAATACAGTTTACCTTTTAGATGTACTTGTTACAACTGACACTAGGTCCTAAATTGCACAACTTTGGTCTTGCATTAATTCACATGCTCAGAATACTTTTCTTGTTCAAAATCTCAGAAGGCCTACCGTTATATCATTCCATCATCACCTATGTAAATTAGGCAATACCAGCAAGATGCTTCCCCAAAGCATCTCACCACTTAGTCCTGTTTTCCTTAATGCTTTATTTACAATTGTTCATATTACTTCAAGGCTAGAAGAGATGTTCAGTACATGACAGAATTATTGGCTTGCCTTGTCTTGGCATTTCTTAAATTACATTTGGTGTTCTCACTCTTACCTTGAAAAAAAATGATCAGTACATTCCACTTCCCAAAATCCCAACCAAGCAAGGTAAGAAATAAGCAAAACACCTCTCTGTGGTATAACCATTCTTTCTTTCTTTAATAAGATTTTATGAAATAGCAGTATTTACTCTGCAATGAAACAGTGTCTGCAGCACCAGCAGGCTTTAAGATTAGAAAGCAACATGTAATTTAAAAGAATTCATGCATCCTTAAATGATACTTCAGACTGGTCAACTCCACACTGCCTGGCAAGTTATAGTTGACACTGAAGTTTTTAATTCCTCTGATTTAACTTCTCCATTAGTAGAAACCTTAAAGCCCACGTAAATGATATATGGTCTCTTATTTCCTTGAGCTTTCAGTAAAATGTTTCTAATTCTACAAGAAATGAGAAATAAGGTCTGCCAGAATAATTCCCTGGACTTTGTCTATAAATATCGGGAGCTGATACAATGTTTCCTATGGATATCATCTGGAGTGTTTTGGATTTTTTTACACATCTATCTATTAGGAAAGAAAGTTTTTGCATAAAGGAAGGTATACTAACATTTGTGAGGGTAGAAAAATTACATCATGTTTCAACTTTTTGGAACATGTTTGCAGAGATATGTTATTTCGAAACATAATTGGTTAAGAAGTCCAGTATTTAAAAAAAAAAAAAGCAGAAGGAATTGTGTTCAATTAGCTATAAAACACTTCAACCTGGAGTGTCTCCAGTTTGTGTAGCAAATATTCTGAGACAGGACACTGCTGTTGCTCTGTGGAAATGGATTGTTCTCTGAAGTGCATCTTTGAGATGACAGAGAATTCAAAGTAATGCTTCAATGCTGCTGAATGGACCGAGGCCATTACAAGTTAGCTGACATTTTAGAAGTTCTTATGCATTACATTTTGAACAAAAAATATTTTTTTTTTAAAATAATGCATAAAATATTGTAAAAATATTATTTTAATAGCTTACTATATAAAAAACACTCCTTGCATTAAGGGAAAAATCCAAACAAGTCTCCATGGAGACCAGATGATCATCACGCCAAGCTTTCTAGAAAAACACACGATAAAACGATATATATGGAAACAGTCTATAAAATGGAAGGACTGAGGCTATTCTCTCTCTATATACATATATGTATATTTATATGTTTTCCACACCACCATTTGGCTTGGTTTACATGCACTGCTATTGAATAAGGACAATGCACAAAGTGTTTGCAGCATGCCTTGGTGTAGGTCATCTGGATTTCTGTTTTCTCAGCATAGGTGCTGAGTTTTGGATTTGATTAATATCTGTAAAAGAGTACTGGCTTGTATACTAGATTCTGATATTTTCTGCTCTTTCGAATAAAAGATCCTACAAGGCAAGAGTGTTAGAACTACCAAAACAGTTGGGCAAAAAGACCTGTTCAAGTACGGTACAAAAAATATGGAGAAACTAGTTACCTAGGATCTGATATATCTGTTCAGCTACTCCAAAAGAATCTACTGCAGTTGTAGCTTCAGAAAAAGAAGAAATTACAAAAAGAAAACATCTGAATTTTTAATTTAAATTCTGAGCTAATATTTTTAACCTTTTTATGTTCTCATCTATGTTTGGGTTTATATTTCACCTCATCTAGTAATTTTTTTGTCCCATTAAAGTAATATAATAAGACTGAACATGAAAACAGCCTTCTCCTTCCATACTATTTGCATGGAAGTAATACAGCTACTGCATAAAGTAATCTCCTCCATAGTATAGCAGGAAAAAAAACCCAATTTTGAAATAACAATGCTGTTAATAACATATATGAGGTTGAATGAATGAAAAAGTAAATTCCCAAAATATGCAAAATAATCACTTCTCAGGAAGTTAATATATGATCCAGAGAGATGAAGAATGAGTCATACTGTAATTTTATGGCTTCAGTTTTACAGTGTTCCTGATCAGTGGTGGGTTTTTTTGTTTTATTTTGGTTTGGGGTTTTTGTATATGAAGGACATACACATATAATACAAACTTATCTGTGAATTAAGGGCATAATCAGACTAGTTATTGAAATTGGTTGCTCATGTTCAGCCATATCTCCTTGTAAACCTCACATATATAATTTGGTTTTTAAGTTTTTGGTTTAATTATAACATCATATAATAATATTATAACAAGATATAAACAACATAGAATGTATTATAACATACATATATAACTATATATACACAAATAAAAATAACATAATATAATTAAATTAAAACCAGTTAATCCCTAGGATACGGACATTCACATGGAAAAAAGTAATATAACAAGGAAGCACCAGATGAAAAATGAAGTTTCTTCTGTGACCAGGTTCAAAGGCATTATTCTGGGGGAAAATAAAATTTTAATTATGCCTGAAAACAGAGAATTCAGTGTTAACTACAGGTACTGATCTAAGCAGAATACATATTAGCCACAGAGGCTCTTTGATAACACTGTAAAATTATTTCACTAAATTTGCAAATCCCATTCTGTTTCAGTTTGGGACTTCTCTGAACTGCATTCCACTGAATTGCAATGAAGTTTTTTGTAGCTTGGGTTTCTGTAGTTCTTTTGCAATCAAGATTTCCCAGGAGTGCTGTAATCTGAAGTAAAGATGAGAGCTAGGTTTTTTTAGCTTAGAAAAAAAATACATCAAAACCCGAAGGTTTGCTGTATTCCTGAATCCAGATGGAAGTTACATAATAGTTTGAGAGAGGAAAAAAGCTGAAAAAAGAATCACAAAACTATTGAATGGGAACTATGTGTTATGCACACCAGAGTAACATATAGCCTGGCTTTTTTAGGCACTTAGGAGATACAGGTTCAAGTCCTTTTAAAGGAGATAATACAACAGAAGATCTGCAGGCAAATAAAAAATTAATTATTGACACAGTTTAGCCCTGAAGAATAGTTGAGAACATGAATAATTTAGCAAGTACATCTGAAAGTATGCATTATTTGAGAGTAGAGCCGAGAGGATGCTAACAGGGACAGCACAGTGACTGGAGGTTTGCCGGTCCACCAGCACTCACTCAGTTGCTGTAAGAGAACTATACCAGGCATTTGCAAGTTATGGGGAGTGACTTGAATAGAAAGAAACCTGCTGTGCTATGCAAGGGAAGTTACCTTTGAAATCTTAAAGTACAAGTTACCTAAGTGAACCTGCAAGACTGTTTACTTTCATAGTGTGGAAAATCCACCAGTCCTTGAACTATACCAGTGCTGAAGAGGAGGTATGCATGTATTTACCATTAGTACATCCGATGATTCAGTTTAATATATGTATACCCCAGACACAGAATAGGAAAACCATAGTTATTATATATAAAGACAATGTTGGGATTTTAACATATTATTCTATCTCAATATGCTTTTATTTTACAGGAGACTATGTAGTCATGTCTGTTTACTTTAACCTGAGCAGGAGAATGGGTTATTTCACTATCCAGACCTACATTCCCTGCACACTTATTGTTGTATTGTCCTGGGTCTCTTTCTGGATTAATAAGGATGCAGTTCCAGCCAGAACATCACTGGGTGAGTTGGTTTTTCTTCCTGCTTTTATTCAAGAGTTATGATGCTTAACTGACACCTCTGTGGACCATCAATTTGTAAATATAAGAGGAGAGACAATTTCACATGAGCGCTCCTCATTTAGAGCTTATTTAGGGATGTAGTCATTTCCAAGGAATAACACAGCCTAAATTATATTTGCATCTCTTCCTTTTTACTATGTCAGACCCTAACTCTGTGTGTTGTAGATTGCCTACAATAAAAATTTTTGCATCTTTTCTGACAATAGCAATATTTTTAATAAACATCAAGAGGATGGGGAACATTGATGGACTAGAGGCAGGGACGCATTAGTTTTAATTGTTCTGCTTCCATATCACAGTGACCAGCAATAGAAACGAAATAAATACCAAGAAGGAATCAGTCTTTCTGGTTGTGTACTGTAGTGGTAAAGAGGGGAGAATGTAGTACCCTGACTTCTATTTTAGGGATCAACAATCAAATGTAGCCTTCAAGCCACAAAATCAACTGAATTTGATGGTATCTAAACTCCTATACATGAAAATGTGATATGTAATTAATCAGAATTAGCAATTTCTACACATTTAGCAAATGTTCCACAAGTAAACTAAAAGAGAGACCAAATTAACCTTGCTTGTGCAAAGCAGCTGTAGCTGTAAGAATTAGCAAAGTAGAAACATTCAGCTAGAGAAAGTTAAACACATTTTCAACTTATGAATTAAACCCACACAAGTCAGATGAATTTTAGGTTTTTCTTCTGCATTTTCATTTCTTCACAGAACTACAGCACAGAGCACAGGAGTGTAAAATGAGGGGCAGCATTTTCATTCCAGAACTCCCTTGAAAGAAGCACAGGAATAGAGGACCAGTGGCTCCCATGACAGAAAGTTTTAAGCATTTTATTGTCTTTTTCACATCCTCTCTAAAAAGAGGTTATAAAATCTGCTTTAAAGAAGTATAAAATCTGCCTTAAAGAAGTATGAAATTAATAAAGGCATTCAGCTGTTACTTTGAATTTTACCTAAATACACAAAACAGACCGGTCTCTCTGTTGAGAATTAGTCTATTTGTGGAGGTAAAATTAGGGGTATGAAATTTACCATACAAAATGTGATAGATTTTGACTGTTCTGATGCATTTCTAGTGCTCTTCACATCATAGTACAGGAGAAGGGATAGTGAGGTGTGTTATAGTACTTCCCATTTATAGACTACAGACAGACAGGAAGGCAACAAGAGATACTGCCCAGGCACAGAGAGAAATCTGACCTCAGAGTATTACAACTATAAGGAGTTCTGAGGGACTCTCCTTTCCAGATCTGTACACAAGAAATCACTTCAATAACAAGCAGCAGATAATTTGTGTGTGGCTAGCATCTTTTGCACACAACTAGAATGCATTTAGGCAACAGAAAGGAAACAGTTTTATTTCTTTATATAGCACACATACATATCTACACACATTTTGTCCTGAAGTTCCTGCTGGATTACATGCTTTAAGAATTTTCATTAATTCAAACCTCATATAATGGCTGCAAGCATGTCTCTTACTGAGACTGATATCATTACCCTACAACTAAAAGTAAGCAAAACTTATACCAACAGCACAAAAAGTTTGAGATTGGCCTTGAGGTTACTTTGAAGAATGGAGTAAGACCATTTTTATTCTCCGCCATGATTTTCTCACTCTGACACAAGTTCTCTTCTCTCTAGCTCTATTTAAGTGCTTGAGCACAAAAAGGCTAAAACTAAATCCGCCCCCACCCCCCAAAAAAAAGGCTTCCTAGAACTAAATTACAAAACTAAAAAACTAAATGAAATTTCTTAGAATCAGAATTAATCTTACGAAAGTATTCTGCAGAGCAGCACTTGCAGTGACCATGCAAAAATTTTCATACTCCATGTTCATCCTCAAAGCTCTCATTCAATTGACATTTCACTGCTGGGGTGTGCTGTTTAATATCTTTGCTGTATGTTTGAACTCCAGGCATACTTCAAAAAACAATCAGAGATGCATAACTGGCAAAATCAGTTTGTTACTTGAAGTAATAATATTTCTGTTGTTTTCTATCTATCTACCAGGTATTACAACTGTCCTGACAATGACCACCCTAAGTACAATTGCTCGTAAATCTCTTCCCAAAGTCTCCTATGTGACAGCAATGGATCTTTTTGTGTCAGTCTGCTTTATTTTTGTTTTCTCTGCACTGGTGGAATATGGAACTTTACACTACTTTGTCAGCAACAGAAAGCCAAGCAAGGATAAAGACAAAAAGAAGAAAAATCCAGTATGTATCTTTTTACCAGCAAGGTCTAACTTTCAATCAGATTTTCTGAGAGAACATTTAAATCCCTCTTTATGCTTGCACTTTCTTTTCACACTTTGCTATTACATATGTACTCTTCCTTTGTATTATTAGGAAGGCAAGCATTCACCTTGAGAATGAAAAGCTCATATATTATGGTTGTCTGGATGCAAGAGAAATTAATTTCTTAGAATAAGGATCCTTTTAACCAAAGTGTTCTGCAAATCACCACTATCACCAAAACCATTATTTGTGTTATAGACAGAGCTCTTGCTGTGACCTTTATGGAAAAACTGCCAGTTTCTCTGTCTTAGCTTTAGCAATGTTTCTTGCCATTAACTTCTGTCTGTATTATTGACATGACTTTGTTTTTCGTATTATCAGGACTACAGTTAAACTTTCATATTCAAATTATGGAGTGTGCTTTTCCTAATTTCCCCTTAAGCATCTGTTTGCTTTTCATTGTTTCCTTATCTTCTTTTTCTTGTATTTCTTACCTACTTGATCTACTTCTCTCCCTTAGAAAGTCATTTGGGTAGCAGTTTACAATGTTACTTATGGATGCATGCTACACAATAATAATTAAAAAGGTATATAATAGTCATAATAAAAGAATCCTGGAAACACCCTCAGTAAGGGTTTGAGGTTTTGCCCAGACAGGGAAAGCGTTGTTGTTTATTTTGTCCAGGACAGATTTCTCCCTGCCTTTTGCAACTGAGCTGAAAAGTCTATTGTCTAGAATCTCTGAGGTGAAAAGAATTACTGTAAAAACCTAGAGGGAAAAGTAGGCTAGTGTTCTACAAAAAAAAAAAAAAATCCAAGTAAATATGCCTGTGAATAATGTGAAGAACAAGTGATTTATATTAATAGAGAGTATTTTCAAACTGATTTCAGACATCTAGGAAACAAGAAGTCACTTGGATTTGCTCCACTAAAATCTTCAAGGACCTTTGAAGATATTCTTTTTTAGTTATAACTTACAGTACAAAAAGATTATAGAAAAAAATCTTAAAGAACCTTTTATTACACATTATTGCTATAATTTCAACTTTATAAACTGTTGAGAAGTAGACTATAAAAATAAAATAGATGTAAAAAAATAAATAAAATACTGGATAAACAGTGAGAAAAACATCTAGAAGTCTATAGAGGAAGAATTTTCACCTAACTTTAGGTATGCTAAATTCGGATTTGATCACAGGGCTCTCTTTTTGTCAAAAGAAAGAAAGAGGCACTTCTGGAGAGTGATGTGTCCTGACCTATCTTAGGCAAAATAAAAGGCTGTCTGTGTGCATTCTTGTCTTTCACAGTCAATTAAAGGAGCAAACGTTTATTACCTCAGATTTAGTTGTCTCATTTTAAGATGTCCATATAAGGGGAGATTTCTTGTTCTTTACATTACTTACCTGTGAGCATCTGGGGACAAATGGAACTATAAATGATTGCCTGGATCCTAATCACAGAGTCTAAAAAACTTAAAAGTAGAGTGCTCAGGACTCAGCCTGCAAGGAAAAAGATTTTTTTTCTAAAAAGTGTTTTTATAAACTGTGAATGGTCTCTTTCAAAACAGTTCAACATAAAAGATTAGAATCCCCTGGGAATATGAAATGATCTAAATGGAGTTTGATATCTTATGTATTTGGCCCAGATGTAGTTACAAGACAGTGACAAGTCAAAAATCGGGGGGAGGGTGGTGGTGGTGTATATTACAGATACTTGTTTAAATTGCTATTATCCCAACCTTTCTATAAATTTAGTTCTTTTTGACTTACTATGTTTTAGAAACATATTTTTAATTTACATTATTTTTGTCTCTTTCTTTCTTTCTTTTCTTTCTTTAATTTAAAACAAAACCCTCTGATTCTCTTTTCTGTCTACAAAATGAAAGCTTCTTCGGATGTTTTCCTTCAAGGTATAATGTTTTTTGGAATGGAAATTCACTGCATGCGACTGCTGAATTTAACTATTAGAGCTTATATGAGAGTAGTGTTTTGTTGTTTGGTTTTTTTAATGAGACATCTAAGCATTCTACTCAAGGTAACTTCCTAATTAAGTAGAATGGTTACGTATTTCTAAACAATTTGTAGAGTTGATTCAGCAGCCCAAATTCTGATTCACGATGGTTCTGAACTTACCTAAGTTCAAGAGTGACCAACATTATTGGATCACATGAATTAAGAGAGTTTAATGTTAAAACATTTCTGCTCCTCTCTTTCTCAGTTTGCCATGTGATCCAATAGCACCAGCTACACAATAAATCTGCAATATACCCTTTTGGAACTCAGCTCTGACCTTGCCTTTTTAACCTTTGTGACTTCACTCCAAATTATAAAACTACATCTGTTCTGATGTTGACCCAAACAAAATTCAATGTCATCATCAGTTATTCAAATGCTGTTCTTTATGCCAAAAAGTCAGAGTTTTGAAAGGGTTTAAGATGCATATATATTTTTAACGCTGTCACTGGATCAACACACTCTTAGCAAATTAGCAAATATATCTAGCTATGTTCCACATCTAAACCTTATCTTCATCCAGAAATGCAGAGATTTCATACAAAAAAATAAAGTGAAAAAAGAAACCACATAAAATAAAAGCCAAGAAATTTCCATACTTATGGAATAGAATTGTTGTTATTT